AGAGTGCTGAGGTGCATGGTGCGTTAAAGTCACCAATGCCCTTTTGATTCCGTAGCTTGAAGAGCTCCATACTTCCACTGACATTAATATCAGCACACAAACTGTGCAGCAAGAGCTTCATGGAGTGGGTTTCCATGGCCGAGCAGCTGCATGCAAGCCTCACGTCACAAGTACAATGCCAGAGGTCATATGGATTGGTGTAAAGCACACCACTACTGGACTCAGTGGAAACAGAAATCCCAATTCTCTGTTTGCCAGTCTGATGGGCGAGTCTGGTTTTGGTGGATACTAGGAGAACGTTACCTGTCTGACTGCATTATGCCAACTGTAAAGTTTGGTGAAGGAGGGATAATGGTATGGAGGTTAGGCTTGCCCCCATACTTTCAGTGAAGGGAAATCTTAATCTGTATATCAAGACATTTTGGACAATGCTATGCTTCCAATTTTGAGGGAACAGTTTGGGGAAGGCCCTTTTCTATTCCAGCATGACTGTACCTTAAAGCAAGGTCTATAAAGACATGGTTGGATGAGTTTGGTGTGGAAGAACTCGACTGGCCCACACAAAGCCCTGAAGTCAACCCCATCAAACACCTTTGGGATGAACTGGAATGGATATTGTGAGCCAGGACTTCGGGTCCAACATCAGTGCCTGACCTCACAAATGCTCTACTGAATGAATGCGCAAAAATTCCAACAGAAACATCTTGTTGAAAGCCTTCCCAAAAGAGAGGAAGCAGTTATAGCTGCAAAGGGGGACCAACTCTTATGTAAATGTCTGTGTATTTAGAATGCAATGTGATTGTAAATGTCTGTGTATTTAGAATGCAATGTGATTAAAGTCCCTGTTGATGTAATAGGCAGGTGTCCCAATACTTCTGTCCATATCATTTTACCAGTATAATGGGACATGATGCACATTTTTGTTTGCTGGCTTGAACCCAGCAAGCTCTTTACGTGATTGCTGTTCAGACGACGTGCATGTCATGCTATGGAAATGTGATGGTTTCAGGTGGCTGACATCTCCACTGTCACGTGTTCAAGGCTCGTCAAAGCCATGTGCCAGAAAATAAAGCCTTTTATGTTTGCATTTGTTTAATTTGTTTGTTACTTGTTTGTTGTTTATAAAAGTGTTTAACATCAGTTTTACGTGACAGGAGTTAAAACTAAATTAGGTGTCGTTTCTCTGAGGCAATATCAGTTAGACTGCTCTGCTACTGTATGTGGTGATATGTTTCATGTCAGGATTGTCACAGATTGTCCTTGAAGTGCTCTCAGCAGGCTGCCGTTTAACTTTGAGGTGACCCATCTTTGTTTACCTATGCGGACAGGGACTTGTGTATCCGCTTTGAGTGACACACATATTGCTACCGCTTGGCAAACAACAAATACGCAGGCTGTCTTCTGCTTTTATTGCCAATGAGATTTATATCAACATAATTGATCTGCCCGTTATTCAGTGGAAAAAGCACATTAATATGGCTCGACCGCTGAGCGATACACCCACCATCGCCTAGAGCCATGAGCTGTCACATGTCAAACTGCCAAGACTTCTTCCCAAACTGGAGGCTGCACACAGGGTCAGGGTGACCGTGGCAACCGTCCTGCCAATCACAGCCCAGTAAGAGGCAACGGCGCATCCAGTAAAGTGCTCTGAGCGCTTTTTAGGCACAGTGCAAGGTGACGGAGATGTACTATGTCAAGAGCATTTGAATAAACATTGCTCGTGTTTTGTTATGGGGGATGTGAGGACATAATGAGAAACAAAAAGCATTGCTTTTCCACTATTTTGCATGTTAGGTAGGAAATTAAGGCACTGTCTATTACAGTATGCTATCATTTGCTGCATTTGCATGATATTCATAACTATACAGATATACATCAATATACATTTCAAAGTCATTTCTATTCATGTTTCAGAGTCATGCCTAATGCACTTGCTCTGACACGTGCCGTGGTGATGCAGATCAGGCCTGTTTTATTCCCCTTTCCTCCATCTTCCAATCATTCCCTGTTCTCTCTTGACTGTTATTGCTAATGAATATGGTTAAAACTATAAAAATAAGACTAAAAACTAAAAAAAGATAACTTTCTTTCTTCTGTGGAACATAAAAAGAAGACATTCTGAAATTTTTTTTGATGCATAACAACATTGGAACGCACTGACCCTATTGAAAAAGAAGTACACTTTAGCATACTATTAAATAAGAGTACTTATTATGGAAATATTTTAAAAGAACATACTTAAGTGTGAACTGAATGTAATGTTTTTGGACAATTGTTTGTTATTCACAATTAAATTAATATTAGTTTATAGTTTAAATTTATAGTAAATGCAGTTATCTGAACTTAAGAGTGCTTATTTGAGTAGACCTAAATAGGATTTAAGTATATTTTATATGTAATTTCACAATTCTGTTGTCTTTGAAATACTGTATATATATATATATATATATAGTTGATTTATAATTATTTTTAAAGCTTTTAATGTACTGTCATTATAAAACTTCATTATTGTTTATTTAATTCTAACGAATAAGCTTTTGTTAAAAACTAACCAAAATTAAAAATAACATTACAAAAATGTTTTTGTTGCTTCAAACCCAACCAAAGAGCACCTTCTGGGATTTCTTCACAAGGTCCTTAATCAGCAAGTAGCACTTCAAGATGTCTCCTACGATCTATTACAAATAATGTGTTTATAATTAGAGAGAGACTTGTGGCACTTTTCCACTGCGTGGTACGACTCGGCTTGGCAAGGCTCAGTATGGCTCGGCTTGGCTCGGTTTGCGTTTCCACTGCAGTTTAGTACCGCTTTAGAGTGGGTGGGATTATTCACATGTCGTTATAGTTGCGCCGCCTC